TCAGGTCCCCAGCACCCACATAAAAAGGCAGAGGTGGCCATGCATGCATGCATGCAAAGCCAGCACTGGAGGGGGGACAAAGAAGGCAAGGTGGAGTTTGTTGGTCACCATCCTAGCTCCAGGTTCGGTACGAGAACCTGTCTCAAAAAGTAACATGGAGAGCGATGGGGGAAGAGACCTGATGCTGAACTCTGGTCTCCACACACAAGTGCACACGTGAACACACACACACATGCACACACACAAAAGGTAGAGAGCGACTGAGAAGGCATGTAATATTGACCTCTAGCCTCCACCAGCACACGTACATATTTGCACTCACACGCCCTACATGCACCAACACACATCAAGTTCATTCACAAACATGTATGCAAACATAAGGAATATTTATCTTGATCTGGAGGGTACTGTTACACTGATATCTAAATCCACTGAACTTCAAAGCATCTCTGCATTTTCAGTACATTATACTGATTAAATTTTAATTTAATTTAATCGGGGGGAGGGGGTGCAAGAGTCCAAACTTGGACCTTCAGGTTAATCACACACTGTATTACTAACCTATAGTTCTGGATCCTTAAACCATCTTTTCACTTTAAAAAAAAAAACGCTATTTATTATTATTGTGTGTACCTTATGTGGCATGCCAGGGTCTCATGTGGAGGTTAAAGGACATCTTTGTGGCATTCTCTCCTTCCACCACAGAACCTGGTGGTTTAACTCATTTTCAGGTTTGCGTGGAAAATGATTTTACCTGCGGAGCCATATCTCAGGCCCTGGCTGCTGCAGAGTTGGGGTGGGGGTGGGGGTTTCTTTGTATAGTCTTGGCTGTCCTTCACTCTGTAGATCAGGCTAGCCTTGAACTCAACGATTCACCTACCTCTGCCTCTGAGTGCTGGGATGAAAGGCATGTACCACCACTTCCCAGTCCAAATGCTTTTTAAAAATCACAGGGCGGGGAGTAGCAAAAGACAAGATCTCCTGAGTAAATTGGGAGCATGGGGACCTTGGGAGAGGGTTGAAGGGGAGGGGAGAAGCAGGGAGGGAAGCAGAGAAAAATGTAGAGCTCAATAAAAATCAATAAAAAAATTTTTTTAAAAAAAATCACAGGGAAAAGTTAGGCACAGCAGCTCACACCTGTAATCCCAGTACTCGGAAGTCTGAGGACGGAGGATGGTGGCAAATTCCAGGCCAGACTGGGCTACATAGTAAGTTCCAGATTAACCGCCTCTCAAAAACAAAAACAATCCTCTTCCTGCCTCCCTGACCCCATCCCCCTAAGCCCAGCCTCAGCTCAGGTTTCCAAAAGAAACCACTAACCCAAAGCAGTGGGCAGGGAACAGCTCCCCCCACTCCACCCCCTCCCCCAGCCCTGCCCATAACTTTCCCTAAGGATGCCAGATCTGCATGCTCCAGGGAAGTGGGAACCAGCAAGTTAATGGCCTGGTACCTGTTAAACAGGGCATCGGACCTCACCTGGTGTTTACAGAAAGAGATTGAGGTTGGTACAGATTCAGTGGTACAGAAAATGCCTTGTACCCTGAGCGAGGGAAGCCCGGCAGGCAGCCATCCTTGATCTCTGGAGCCCAGCCGAGCTTCTTGATCACCATTAGGGGTCTCTCCCAGGCTCCAGGGGTGACTGACTCCTGCTACTGTCCCCAGACTCTGTTCAAATTTATTTCTCTCCCATATCCCCATAGCTTTATGCCTGTAATGCATAGCCCACCACCAACCTGGCTCCGGCCAGATCTATTCATGTTTTCTGGTCCTCTCTCTAAATGGGACCCTGTGGACATATTCTACAAACATGCTTGGTTATTTAGCTTCTCGGTTTCTTTAAGCCCTCTACATCTCTGCCTACCAGACCAGCTTACTCTTCTTCTCTGTCCATAGGAAGCATCGATCGACTCTGACATCACCTTCAGCTCTACCTCACTAAACATACACTGGGTCTTCCTCGTGGCATCCTGTGGACGACAGTGGTCACTGCAGCAGCCACTCCCTCCAGGTTTCTAGCTCCTCATAGCCAACATTCTAACCTCAAAGTCAAGGTTTCTTAACCAACTAAAGGAGACACATTAAGAATGAGCTCCCGGGGCTGGTGAGATGGCTCAGAGCACACTGGCTTCTCTTCCAAAAGACCCAGGGTTCAATTCCCAGCACCCAGATGGCACTTCACACCTGCCCGTAACTCTAATTAGTTCCAGGGGATCTGACACCCTCAACAGACACACACGCAGGCAAAACACCAATGCACATAAAATAAATTTAAAAGTATGAGCTCTTGTTCTCTTTCAGCATATGGAAGTTCCAGGACTGGAGTTGCTCCCCACAACAACGTACATTCAAACACCTTCTTTAGCTGGGATAAGTTGACAAACACCAGGACGCAGACCGCAGCCCCAAAGAGCCCGACTCTGGCCCATGACCACTGCTGAAGCGGAGATCAGTCAGTACGGATTGGGGTTCCAGGACAGCCCTCTATTCCCACCCAGATCCCCCAATGGCTGAGGCTGGGCAGCATTCCAAGGAGTTCTTGTGATTGACAGCTCTTTCCTGTGTCCAGGAATGCACTCAGTGACTCATGGCACCTTATCACTGAGACCTTTGGAAACTTTGAGAGAACTAAATCTTTGACAAGTCGAGGTAGAAACAGGGTCCCCAGAGCCCAGGCTGCCTCTGGGGGCGGGGGGGGGGGGGGGCGCAACACCTGCCGCAGAAATGGCAGCAGGGCCCCAGGCGAAGGTGCAGGGAAGCAAGACGGAATAGGAGGCACTAAGGACTCCCCTCCTCAACACCCTCTAGCTCTAAGGACCAGAATACCGTTGTCTCCCATTTTCTCCAGACCCAACTTCACTTTCATGTCCCCAACAAACTGGTGGCCCAAGCTCTGTGAAGCCAAAATGCACAGCTGGCCATGACGGGGCTTTTGGAAGCCCATTTCTGTACAGTTCAAGCAAGGCAGGTGCCTAGGCAGCTCTCAACTGGCCCATCTGTGGAATGGGCTCTTTCCCCACTGCCTGAGCCTCCAGATTCTTCCAAGCAGATGGGACCCACAGCAGGGCATAGAGGGGTTAGAAAGTCAGGGAGGCTGACCACAACAGAGCTACAGGCGGTAAGTGCCAGGGTATCTCCCAAGGGACAAAAGCTCTCGCTCTGGACTGCGCCACAGCCCTTGCCACACACCACAGTGACCCAAGACCTCGTGACACAGTCTAATCAGGAGCTCTAGAGCCGAGCCCGGCTTTACAGCTTACCGCAAGCTTATTCAGCCTCATCTCCCTCAATCCCCTCAAGGACAAGGCGAGGCTGGCCTTAGCGTCCTTGTCGCCTGGACAGCCAAGCCCAACCTAAGAGAACTACCTAAGGTCACCATTAAGAGGGACACACTCTGTCTGGGGACAAGCATTGGCTCTTAGATAGGGACATACCCATTGGATAGTATACCCCACCCATTTCACAGGTGAAGAAACTGAGGACAAAAAAAAAAAACATTGCCCAAGGTTAACTGGATGGCTGAGCCAAAGTCTAAGACAGCTTCTAACAATCTGCCAATGCCATCCTATTGTGGGCTCTCGGCTGATGCCTAGGACCCCCTCCAGCCACCCACCATCATCTTGCTAAAACACTTCCCCTTCACCCCCCATTCCCCGATGACTCCCTGATAGAGAGGGAGGCAGGCAGGCGGTTGCTAAGCGCTCACCCGCTCTCTCATAAAAATAAACTCCTTCTGGCTTAGAGGCTCTGGGTGAGATCCCCTCCCTACCAGCCAAAAAAAAAATTATTTAAAAAAGATCTCCATGACATTTATTTAAAATCCAGCTGTGCCAAATCAGAGGCCAATTTACTGACATCCAAATGGAGCCACGTGCTACCAAACCGCAGTCCGAAGACCCTCTGGGTCAAGCGCCTGGCCAGTCTCTGAGATGATTTATTTACCCAGGCAGGAAACGGGGGCCCAGGCTGTCTCCCAAGCCTTTGGGGCTGGTCCTGGGGGAGGCAGGGATCTGGCAGAGGCCTGGCAGTGACCAAAATAGCCAGGTCCATGGCCCTGCCTAGCACACGCCTCCCTTGCAGCCCGGCTAGTCTAGGCTGAGGCTGTAGGACCAGGAGACCTGTTTCTGAGACTGGCTCCTTGTGTGGCTTCCCCAGTGGAAGCGGACCAGAACCCTCCCACCCAAAAGAGGAACCTACAAAGGGAAGGGGTGAAGTGTGGAGGAAGATCTGTCCAGCTGATCCCCTGGCCATTGCCCCTGGCTGTCCCTCCGGGCCTCAGTCTTGCTACTCAAGCCTGGGGGCGGCTGTCACTGCTACCTGCATGCCACACCCAGGCAGCACCTGGAGCCTCTCACCTCTCCTAAAAGCCACGGAGATCTAAAATTGACCACTGGGCCCACTGGGCACAAGGGATGCCCTCTCAGGTACCGCTGAAAGACACCAGACTTGTCCACAACCAGGGACCCAGAGATACGGTTACATTCAGGGACACACACGTGCCTACGACCAGGGTTCCCGAGACAGAAGACACAACCACACCTACAGGTTCACAGAGGCAAGACATATATGCAACACACGAGAGCGCACATCAGAAGACAGAGACACACAGCCACACTACTCGCAGGTATAACAGCCCAAGACACAGCCTATCACACACCTTGGGGTGCACATGTGCACGGCTGCCTGGACTGCAGAAATAGCCACCCTCAGAAACAGAGACATTCAGGGACAAGGAGAAACCCCGTGAAACACACGCGCGCGCACACACACACACAAACACACACACACACACACACCTGCCGCCGCACCAACAGCCCCAGCCCCTTCGCCAGGGAAACAATAACTCCCTCGGCTGCGGGGCTAAGCAGGCGACCCTCGGTCACTCCCTCGGCATAAAAGGGGATGGCGGAGCGCGGGGAAGCCAGACCTGCAAGGGACGTGGGGAGGTGGTGGAACACAGCCCGGGGAGGGGGCTGCAGTCGCGGCCCGCACGCCCTGGGTACCTGGGTTGCTAAGCCCGCGGCCGCGGCGGATGGCCCGGGACTGGCGGGACTGGCGGGACAGGCGGCGATCGCGGCGTTGGCGGCTGGGCACGGGAGCTCGACTGCAGCCAGGTCCCGGAGCACGACGCTGGCAGCGGCGCGGAGGAAGCGGTAATTTATAAGCGGCTTCTCCCTGACCTCGCGTGTCTGTTGTCTGAACAGGCAGCTCTCCGCATCACCCATCCTGCTGGGTGGAAAAATACCAGCTTGGCCGGGCCTGGGGCGGGGCCTGGGGCGGGACCTGGACTCTCGGTCACGCCCACATGCGACACACACACACACACACACACACACACACACACACGAATGCACGCACGCGCGCACGAGCTCGGACACACAAAGAGCCCGGGCTCGCTTCGTCGAGCGCGCGCACCCATCCTCATGCTCTATCGAAACGCTGGTGGCAAATGGCACTGCTCAGACCTCTCTTTCGGGCGATGAGGAACTAGAGACCTAGACCCCTGGCCCATCTCCTGTCTTGATAGCCACTGCCACATCACAACGCTCTCTAACACATCTAAACACCTAGCTCTGGGGATGAGGCCTGGGGCTGCTGCAGCTGCTAGGTCTGTGCCAGAATCTCTTCCTCCTCCGCGATGACCTCCTGGCCAGTGCGCAGCTCTGCGAGCCTGACTGAGCTGCTGTGGAACTGATCACTGGAGCCAAATCCCCCGGCCCACATGAGGCTGTCCTGGCTTAATCGTGGGCTGTGTGACCTCAGGCAAGTTCCTCAGATTTCTGTGTCTTGGTTTCCTCATCTGTAAAACGGAAATAAAAATAGTGGAACTCATCGCTTTTGGCTGCTGGGAGGCTCCAAGGTTAACAGAGCCCGAACAGGGCACCAGGCACCTCCGAAGTGCCAAACGAGTGTCAGCAAATGTGACTATTTTTAAATGGAGACGGGGAGTGTGCCATTATTCTTGCCCTTATTTGAATGAGCAGGTCCTCTCTCTGATTGTACACACCCACAGGCAGGCTGAGCCGGAGGTGGCGCTGTGTGACCTTCGGTAAGGCCTTCCCCTCTCTGAGTGCCCACTTTCTTTTCTTTCCTCTCCACTCTGTCTGCACACAAGTGGCTGTTAATGTAGCATGCCTCGCCTTTTGCCTCTTAAACTGAAAATAAGGGCCCTGACCTGGCCTGCCCGAGCCCATTGTCCTAGGCTGGCACAAGATATCAAGAAACAAAATAAGAGTGGGGGCATTTTCTCTCTAGCAGGCCTCATTCAGTAAGTCCCCCTGCCATTGGGCTCCAGTTTGCCCTCCCAACAGGTGCCCCCAAGGCCACCTCCAGCCTGTCTCCACGGTGGTCCCTCCTGTCTGTAGTCCAGGAGCACACACAGCACAGAAGGCCGCAGGTAGCTTCTGCTGCTGCTCTTCTGAATGTAACACTAGATAGAGGGCAAACTGAGGCTAGAGGAGAAGGGACTTCAGACAGTGGGTATGATGGCCCACGCCAATAATCTCAGCACTTGGGAGTGCCAGGAGTTCAAGGTGAGCTTGGACTGCAGAGTAAAACCTGAATTTAGAAAAAAAAAAATTAGCTGGGCAGTGGTGGCACACACCTTTAATTCCAGTACTCAGGAGGCAGAGGCAGGCGGATCTCTGAGTTTGAGGCCAGCCTGGTCTACAGAGCCAGATCCAGGACAGTCAAGGCTACACAGAGAAACCTTGTCTTGAAAATCCAAAAAAAAAAAAATCCACAATTTTCCAGACTCACATGTCACTACCCACAGCACAAAGGGCTGAGGCCAAGGGGCAGGTTAGAGAGTAAGGAAGTGGCTGAAGTTTGAACCCAGAGCACACTTGAGGAAGCCAGGGAAACTGGGGGCAGGCAGAGGAACCTGAGGCGGGGGTGGAGGAGCAGAGGAAGCAAGAGCTGCAAGGCTGCGAAGGCCTCCAGGCGCGACATCACAGGACTATGCAGACAGCCTGGGCAGTGGAGGGCACAGTGACATAGCAGGCACAGGGAGGCAACCGGAAAGTCTCTCAGGGAAGCCTGACATTCAGAATGGTCCACAGTGATGGCTATGAAGAATGGTAGGGACACGGCTCAGGTACCCATCCACCTTTCCCCTCTGTGATGTCAGCTCTGTAAGCATGAGATCTGGTCCTTGACTCCATCAAGTGCACAGGACTTCACAGCCACTGTGCACAGAAAGTGCTCATATGTGTTGATTTATTGCGCTTTGAGATGGGATTACCACTCCATTGCCTAGCCAGACCCCAAATTGTTGAGATCAAGGCACCCTACTGCAGAGCCCTTGGGTGGCTGGGGTCACAGCTGAATGCCACTTGGGTCGCCACACTTGCTATATTTATTTTGTTTAGCTTCCTTTCCATAGCACTTTCATGGCTGGCAGAATTCACTTACTGTAAACAGGTCCAACCCCTCGCCAGAGCATCTCTGTAAGCTAGCTCGGCACTGCTATTTCTCCCAATTTGCAGAAGGAAAAACCGAGCCACAGGGAAAATAACTGGCCTGGGGATGCTCGGCCGGTGAATCACAGAGCTGGAATCTAAACGTAGTCCATCTGTTTGCTGCCAGGGGGGCTTTAGGAGAGCCCAGCCCCAGGTTGTTGGTGCAGCGGGTCAGTCAGGCGTGAAGCATGAGCTAAGCATGTGAGAGGCCATGGATTGTCGGAGGAATCACAAGTCTCAAATGGGGCAGGCTCTGCTGAATGCAGCTCCAAAGGCTTTCCCTGCATTGGGCTTCATCCGTCGTGTGTTTTGAGTTTATTGCCACAAATGAAAATTGAGGTGATTTTGCATATACAAACACCTGTCTCCCCAGCTGTTCAGATGCTTGGACAGAACTGCTGGGCCCAGGAGTTTGGAGCTGGTCTGACAATATAGGGACACTGTATCTCTTTAAAACAAATAATTTCACTCTGTGGGGTGGTGGTGCATTCCTTGAATTCCTAAACTTGGGAAGTAGAGGCAGTGTATCTGAGTTTGAGACTAGATTGGTCTACAGAGCATGTTCCAGCTCAGCCAGGGCAATGAAGAGAAACCAATATAATAGTAATATTTCAATCCAGGTATGGTGCCACACACATTTAAGCCCAGAACTCGGAGGGCAGAGGAAGGTAAATTTCTGTGAATTTCAGGCCAGCCAGAACTACATAGTAAGACCCTGACTCAAATAATTTGTCCAGACACAATGGTACACACTTGTAATCCCAGCATATAAGAGGCAGAGGAATAGGAGTTCAAGTCCAGCTTTGGCTACAAGAGACCCTGTGTCAAACAATTTAGAAATAAAATAAAAGGGGGGGGGTAGATAGATCAGGAGAGCTCAAACAGCTCTTGCAAAAGTTCCCATCACCCATATCAGACAGCTCATGCCACCTTTAACTCCAGCTCCCGGGGGATCAGATACTTCTTGATTCTTAGGACACTATGTGCACACACACACACACACACACACACACATTAAAAAATAATCTAAAAGAGATGAATAAACCTATAGTTCCAGCCCTGAAAAGACTGAGACAGTAGCATTGGCTGCAGTTTAATAAGATCCTGTCTCCAAGAACAAAACGTAAGGGCCAGCAAGTTGGCTCAATAGATAAAGGTGATTATTGCAAAAGAGACCCAACCTGAATCTCCAGAACCTATATGGTAGGAGAGCCAATTCATACAAGTTGTCCTCTGACCTCTGTACACATTGTGACACACACACACTGAATGAATGAATGTGAAAAAAACTTTAAAGGAAAATTTGGATTCTCTTGAATATTGTTAGAATGGGCCCCCTGCTGGCCCATCACCTACCTGTCCAAAACAATCAAGCACCAAAGGCTTCCTCGGCATTCTCACATGCTAGACATGAACCAACCCCATCCCCGCCCAGGATATCACAGTTACTCCCTAGCTTGCAAATGTCTCCACGAGACTGAGCTGGGACCCAGGCCCAGGCCAGTGATGGGAGCTGCAAGATTCGGAAAGAGCTATTGGGCACCCAAGGCACCAAAAACACTGGCACTTATGAGGCTCTTCAAGGAAAGCCAGGCAGAAGTTCCTTCTATGAGCCAAATACTGGCTGACATTCCAATGGGACCAACTCATTTCAGGAATGAAAAATCGATGTTCGGGCAGAGCTCCTGGGGACATGCTCAGGGTGATGGCCGGGGTTTGGGCTTTTGGTCTGTGGCTGTTATTCACAGCAGTGAACACGGTTTGTAAGAAGCCACTGGGAGCACATTACTCAGAAGCTCTCAATAGTGACATCAAATCGATCTAGGGCTTTGAATGAAACCTCCCGACCCTGCCAGAGGAACTCCTGTCCTATCTGTCAGGTCATCAAGAGTAGCGGCAATGCTGAGGGCAGCACAGCGCATGCTGGGCCATCTGGCCAGCTCAGGAAGGCCACTTGGCACCAGCTCTGTGGAGGATCGAGGATCATCCTTGGCCAGACTCACAGGACTCAGAACTCCATCCCCCATGAAAGCTGTGAAGAGACAAGCAGGGACATTAGGTGGCCAGCGATTCTTTCCCGAGCAATATCGCTTTCTCCTAGGCACCCCCTCTCCAATGTGTCCACGTGCCCAGCAAAGCACCAGTGGTCACACCACAGAACTTGACCAGAGTACCCTGCCTCTCAGGAACCTGTGTCCTGCCTACCTGCCTTCCTCTTGCCTGCTTGCAAACCCCAGAGCCCATCGTGGGCTGTGGCACCTACCGTGAAGCATAGACCTCTCTGTGCCTCACTGTTCTGATCTGTACAAGCAGACTAAATAAAACACCAGTTTCCCCAGCACTGCTGTGAGGGTCCAGCGGAGATGGTTCATGAAAAGCACTGAGCAGGGTCTCTGACACCGTTCACCATGGGGCATGTGAAAGTACTCCTCTTACCCATATGCTCCCTGCCTGGGGCCTTCCCTCTTCTGAGCCTTCGTTCCCTACCCAAAGCATGTCACCCATCGGCCTCCTGCAGCCTGGGACTCGGCCAAAGCTGGAGCTCCAAGCAGGAAGTAAGTACCCAGGAGGCAGACTCCCTAGCAGTGCCCAGCAAGCAGCCAGCACAGAGGAGCATGGGAAACCTTTGCCGGATGTGGTCTTGGGGAGGTAAGTCCCTGAGCCCCACTTCCTCCTCTGTCTGAGGGAGCAGACTGCACTAGAGCCAGAGAGGGAAGGTATCATTGAGAGGCATACTGCAAAGGACGCGGGACCTGCAAGCAAGTACACA